CCGCCCAGCCTCGGCGGCCATCCCAAACTGGCATGGGATTACAGAAGTGAAGCCACTGTACCTGGCCCTAAGTTAGTCACTCTGATGTACTTAAATTGTTCTCGCCCATCTAGCCTAGCAGTACCCCCTAGCTACATAATGGAGTCACCTGGGGCAACTTTTCAAAAACACTGGTGCTTGGATGTCAGCCCCAGAGGTTACGGTGTAACTGGCCAGGGATGGGGCCAAGCATGTGCAATTTTACATTTCCCCTGGTGACCCTAATATGCAGCCAAGGTTGAGAAACACTGCCCTTGATTCATTGAATTAGAATCTCTGGGGTGTATCCTAGGTAATCTCCAGTCAATCCTATGTGTAACCTGAGTTGAAGACTACTAATATGGCCTCTATATGTAGTTCACACAATTAACAAATATTTATTCATCATCAACTATGTCCTAGGCACTGTGCAAGACATTGGATAGGGAAGAGATGAACTAACTGACTAGGTTTCACATCTTAGAAGTACAGTGAAGTAGTGGAAACCAAGACAACACATTGATGAGTGTAGAAGATGACATAGAAGGCTGTAGGTGGGGGCAGCCAGGGGACGTTTGCTGGGGTTGAGTTTCTAAAATATATATACATCAAACATCTACTGTGACATACCAAGTCTATTTCTTATAAGGGCTCTGAGCCTTTCACTTGCCCCCTCACATAACTCTCACCACATCCCTAAGAGGTAAATAGTTTTATTCCCAATTATAAATCGAGGGACTTGAAAGCCTGGAGAGGTGAGTTACACACAGCTTGTAAGAGTCAGGACAGCAGAGAAATCCAGGTCCACCTAATTCTAACGCTCATGGCGTTCAATTTATGAACATCACGGGGTAGGCTGGGATTTGTTACAGACCATTTTTCACCAACATTTTAAACTAAGGTCACCACATAGCTGACCAGTGATTTTAATGACGAAACACAATTCAAATCTGTGCTACCCAAAGGGTGACAGGTGGGCCAGAGGTATCTGCTTCTGCTGGGGACTTTAGAAATGTTCATTCTCAGCCAGGGGTGGTGGCTCATGCCTGTAATCCCAGCACTTTGGGAGGCCGGAGGCAGGCAGATGACCTTAGGCCAAGAGTTTGAGACAAGCCTGGCCAACATGGCGAAACCCTATCTCTACTAAAAAATACAGAAAATACCTGGGTGTGGTGGCAGGCGCCTGTAATCCCAGCTACTCAGGAGGCTGAGGCAGGAGAATCACTTGAACCAGGGAGGTGGAGGTTGCAGTGAGCCAAGATAGCGCCACTGCACTCCAGCCTGGGCGACAGAGCGGAACTCCATCTCCAAAAAAAACAAAAAACAAAAAACGAATTCTCAGGCCCCACCTCAGACAAACTGAACCAGAGTAACTGGGGTGAGGCCCAGAAATGTGTATTTTAACATGTCCATGTGTTCTATGAACAGTAACATTGGCCAAGCAATATTTCAGTCATCCTAAAAGGAAAGGCTTTATTAAACCTTAAAGCAGATAATTCTGACATATGCTGCAACATGGATGAACCGTGAGTACACTATGCTAGATAAAATAAGCTAGTCACAAAAGACAAATACTGCATGATTCCACTGATACGGGGTACCTAGACCGGCCAAAAATCATAGATATACTCAAAGTAGAATGTTGGCTGCCAGAGACTATGGTGAGGTGAGAATGGGAAGTTGGTTTAATGTTTATAGAGCTTTAGTTTCAAAGATTAAAAGAGTTCTTGAAGTGGATAGCAGTGATGGTTGCATAACAAATGTAATTAATGCTACTGAACTGTACACTTAAAATGGCTAAGATGGCATATTTAATGATATATGTATTTTATTTGAATTTTTAAAAAAATTTAAAAAAAGAAAAGGAAATTATTTTCACCAAAAGATACTGAAATAACAGCATATCTGTAAGAAAAATGTGAATACTATTACTTGATACAAAAAATAAACTGAAATTGGTTTATATACCGAAAGGTAAAAGGTGGTTTCTCCCTAGTACTGGGAGTGCTCCTTTCCTTCAACAGTGACATAATCTGTTTGCTCTAATTCAGTAACTGCTATATCCATCTTTATTAATGAAGTACTCACCCACACCCAGGCCTTTCTCATCGATGAGCCACCAATCATGAGGGCTGGGCACAGTAGTAGAACTGGGCCACTGAAAGAGTTCATTAGGGCCCACAAATTCTAGCAATTAATCATATGATCTTCCATATTCAATAACCCAAACCAGGTGGTGATAGAAGCAACAGATTGGAGTCATCCTTTTTGTGTTGTCACTGATGGTGTCGCCTAATGATTAAACTAGTGAGGCATCCAAGGCAGTAGGGTCAATTATGTTTTTTAAAAAAGAAAAAGAGCATTGGTTGAGAGATTTCATGGTGAAATCATGGACATAGAGAACCGATCTCCCTGAATCCTGCCTCTTCTGTCCTGATTTTCTCCAAACATCTCCTCCGAAGGGGAAAGCTTCCTCTGAGGAGCACCTGCATGTAATGCTCACACTGTCTGCTAAAGACGTGTAGGACACAGCGCAGATAACATCATCTGTCTAGCAATTTTCTCAGTCACATCTTCCAAAGTCTATCTTACCACTTAAAAATGCCACCAACCTGAGACCAAGGACGTGAAATGTGCATTGAATGTTTTGTCCATTAGCCCACTACTGGGGGCCCCATTGCTGTGAACAGGTGGCATTGTCTAACTACAAGTGAACCAGATACTAAGCAAGGCAGAGAATAGTCTGCAGTGCCACTATGGTGTGGCCAGAATCTGCCAGCTTCACAGAAAGGCAACTCCATGATGACAGTTGTCAATTATCCCTGCATACCAGTGATGGCCAG